TTTATACCAGATATGAAACTGAAACAAAACAAATGGGAAAAAAGTCATATATCAGGCTCGAACCTGCGACCAAGCATAATTAAACCTTAAGAGCACGCGTGCTACCACTAGGGTGGCTTGTACATCTGGTGGTATAACGCAAACGAATGAATATATTACAAAATTCAATCATATTTTTATTTTTACACGTGCACGCCCAAGTGGATTTGAATGAGCCCATCAGGTGATGACACTTGGGCCACCAGAGTCAGCACGCCGGAGTCAGCACGCCGGAGTCAATCTTTCGATTGTCTTCTCTGGCTCGGCCTTCTACCAAAACCTACAATAACACATTAAAACGAAAGATATAATGATCTAGATCCATTAATCATCATCCTACAAATTCAATGAAATGGTTAAGAAGACCTAAAAATGCATGCATCATCTAAATTGATATCCAAAAGCTTTTTCGGCCCTAACAATGGTAAAGCGTGGTTCTGGCATCAAACTTCACATGTAATACGTCCATTTTGTTCTAATGAGGCATATGAGAAAGTTAAATGGATTAATAATGAATGAACGCACAATAAATCATGGTTTTGAAATTTACCAACTTTGGTAACCGACATAATGGAAGAGTCACGTTCTGGCTATGCTCTGGTTTGATCTTGGGCTTTGGAGAAATCCTGGGAACCTCAGGAAATGAATATTGGCCTTGGTTTCGAGTGAAACTTGCTGAAAATGTGAGATATAATTTTCACAACTTTTTGAATTTGAAATTTTTTTGGAGGTTTGTATGCAATCCTTTTTTTGTCTATTTGGTATGGCTTTGCTTGCTTTATATAGGAAAATAATTTGTCTCAACAATCATGGAATGAAATCAAACCATCAAGCCATATTTTAATCAAGAATAAAACAAATTTAAAACTTGCCAAACTTGAAATTTTTCTTGCCATCTTAAATTTGCATGATTTTTCTTAAGCTGACCAAAAACCAAATCCATATGCATTAACAAAACTGATTTTTCATTCTTTCTTTCTTCCCTCTAAATTCATGGTCTCATTCTCTTTTTCAAATGCTAATAACAAGGCAAAACACATATTAACATGAGTAAAAAAAAGAAAGCATCAATCATATCCGTTTATTTGGAAAGCAGGCAAATCAAAAATTGATTGAAACCAACAAGAAAATACAGAATAATAAATTCAAAGAAGAAGAAGCATTTCTATGATGGAGTCTCGTTCCGATTTGCAATGACATGATGTTGTTATCGTTGTTGTTGGTTCGGTGTTGTCGGAGTATGTAAAACACACTTGAACTCACTGCACGCGCTTGAGTGTTGAACTGAGGATATGCTCCAATGATGAACAAAGTTTCTCCATACTATACACCTTTAATTGTGAGATATAAAAATAGAGTATTTGTTAATTAATGATTAATAATTGTAATTATATTTTGTTGTATGAAAAATCCTCTCTAATTTAATTTAGTTAGGACATTAAACTAAATTTGATAATAATCAACTTTATTATATTAAAAATAGATACACTGTTCAACGTTGAAATTCTCTTTCAAAAATTAACTAAATGTATCAAATGTCATTAATTAAAAAATAATGATTAATTAATTGAAACTATAAGATAATGAAATACATTTCATAGTATGCTATTTTATTATATTAAAAGTAGATTAATTAATAAATTAATAGAGTTGTAAATGGAAGTTAGGTAGTAGAGTTGGTGGAGTATTTACGTGAGTATTACTTTTATTTGTTTACTAATTTAATTACTCAATTAGAGTTGTAAATGAAAGAAAAAGGAGTGAGGAGTGTATATGGTGAATGGGGTTAATTATGGAATGAAATTAATGGAGAGTAATGTGGTGAATGATGTTTTAATTAAATAATAAATTAATAAATTAATAGAGTTCTTAATGGAAGTTATAATAAGGAAATAGAGTTGGTGGAGTATTTACGTAAGTATTACTTTTATTTATTTATTAATTTAATTATTCAATTGATAAATAATTAGTGAAATTATAGAAAAACAATTTTATTAATTATTATTAGTTTTGGCAGGAAATTTTAAAAAATTGAAATAAGAATAGAATTGAAAGGAAAAGGAATGTAGAGTGTGTAGGAGAGTGGGGTTAATTATGGAGTGAAATTAGTGGAGAGTAGTGTGGTGAATGATGTTTCCATTAAATAATTAATTAATAAATTAAAAGAGTTTTTAATGGAAGTTATAATAAGGTAATAGAGTTGGTGGAGTATTTACGTGAGTATTACTTTTATTTATTTACTAATTTAATTATTCAAAAAAATAAGATTCCATGCATTCCAAGATTTATCTCTAAAATAAGAGGTATTTTGGAAATTTTGCAAAGGCTATGGAAGAAGATATAATTCTGGTTGTTTAACTATATTTTTGAAAAATAAGATTCCAGCGTTCAAAGATCTATCTCAAAAACAAGCAAAACGAAAATTTGACACTGATCGAAATAAAAAATAAAGAAAGCGAACATGCGAGAGATAGAGAGACGACGTCGAGCAAAGGAAGAGGAAGAAGAGGTTGTTGCATCCCCATTTACTGATCTTTCCATTTCTTCTTCAGGTTTCACTCTTTCAATGTTATCATGATTTCTCAATATTTATCATTATTACTACCACTCATTCTATTCATTGAAATAGAATTAAACACAAACCATTTCTTTTATTTCAAACTTAATTCAAATCCCTTTTTACTTGGGCGAAGCCATGATGATGGTTGAAGTAGAACCAATTGACTTGGACAAAGTCTTGAGCAATTCAAATTGGTGTGAAGTCATGAAAGAAGAACTTAGAGCTATTGAAAAGAACAAGACTTGGGAGCTTGTCGAAAGAACCAACAAGAAACCAATCAATGTAAAGTGGATTTACAAGGTGAAACGAAAGCCAAATGGTGAGATTGCGGAATATAAAGCAAGATTGGTGGCCAAAGGTTTTCTACAAAAACCTGGTATTGACTTCGACGAAGTATATGCGCCTGGTGCGAGGTTAGAAACAATCAGGATTGTTGTTTCGACAACAACATATAGAGGATGAAAAATGCATCAATTAGATGTAAAGTCAGTATTTTTGAATGGTCCATTGGAAGAAGAAGTCTACATTACTCAACCACCAAGATTCGACATCAAAGGGCAGGAGTCGAAAGTATATAAATTAAGGAAGACTCTCTATGGTTTGAAGCAAGCTCCTAGAGCTTGGAATAAGAGGATAGATAGCTTCCTTATCGATGCAGGCTTCACAAAGTGTGTGTCTGAACATAGAGTGTATGTAAATGATATCAACAGTGGCAGTCGAATCATTTTATGTCTCTATGTTGATGACTTACTCATTACAGGAGAAGACGAAGTTGAGATAATGAAGGTAAAGTCGAAGTTAATGCAGGAATTTGAAATGTCTGACTTAGGGAATCTCTCATATTTTCTAGGGATGAAATTCAAAGACACTGAAGAAGGAGTATTCTTGCATCAAGCAAGGTATGCTCAAGATATTTTGAAGAGGTTTAAATGAGCAACTGTATGAAGCTCTCACTCTGTTAAAAACTGGATCAAAGTTAAAAAAAGGAAACAGATGATGAGTTTGTAAGTTTGACCATTTACAAACAAATCATTGGATCCTTGAGATATCTTTACAATACTAGACCAGATATCTGCTAAAGTGTAGGATTGTTGAGTAGATTTATGGAGAAACCACAAGAATGTCATCTCATCTCAGTAAAAAGGGTATTGAGATACACAAAGGGAACTATTGATCATGGTATGTTGTTACCAAAGAAGTCGAAGAACTGCACAGGTGTCGAAGTTCATGGATACACTGACTCAGATTTCAGTGGAGATCAAGACGAAAAGAAAAGTACTCCAGGCTACATTTTCATGATTGAAGGTGCTCTAATCTCTTGGAGTTCGAGGAAGCAAAGCATTATGGCTTTGTAATCATGCGAAGCAGAATATGTGGCTGCGTCTTATGCTGCATGTCAAGCAGCATGGATAGAAGTGCTACTTGAAGAACTCAGGATAATGGAACCTAACAAGATGAAGTTGTTTGTCGACAACAAGTCAGCTATAAACCTGGAAAATCATCCAGTGTGTCATGGTCGAAGTAAGCACATAGAAATAATATATCATTTTCTGAGGGATCAAGTCAACAAAGGGAAGCTTGAGATAAAACATTGCAAGACAGAAGTGGAACTAGCCGACATATTTACCAAACCTCTGAAGAAAGTCAGATTCGACGAGTTAAAGAAAAGCATCGGGATGAGAAGTCTCGAGAACATGAATTAGAGGGTGTGTTAGATGTATAGTTCTTGTTCTGTCGAAATACTTGTAGTGTATGTCGAATAGTTTTGTATAGGTTGTAAGATTTATTCGACAGAGTCGAATACATCAGATATTGTAGTCTGTCAAAATCATGTTTTGGACTTTAGCATTTTGTCTAATTGGGTCTGAGCATTGTTTGCCTATATAAAGGGTTGTTGAATTTGTAATTACAACACAAGTGAATAAGTGAAAGAAGTGAGAAAGCAATCACATTAGGAAACACTCAATTCTCTCTCCTCTCTCTTCTTCTTCTTTTCCCTAAAATCATCTTTCTTAAAAACCCTCTGTTCCAACATAAATGAGTATATTTAGGCTGCAAGTCTATAAGTTTTTCTTTAGTTAACAAACAAAAAACTAAAGTTTCTTTTTTATTTTCTTTTTCTATGGTCTTTCTTTGTGTCGAGGGGAACATAAGCCATTGAAGGACTGTTCTTTGATGTAGCGAAGGATAAGTAGAGTATGCAAAATCCTATATAATCATTTAATGTACTAAGTTTACAAATACTCCTTACTTTTATTTATAACTATATAATAACATGACACCATAATACAAAACTCAGCACATAAATAAAATATATATCTATTCTCGACATAACACTCACACAACAAACAACATTATTTTAAATAAATATCAATAACACAAGTTACTCATGACTATAATATCAATAATCATAAAAGAGGACCACTCTCAGGTGTAGGAGCATCACTGCTATAAGGTGCGATATTAGTCTGATCGTTAAATGGACAAAACCTATGATACACAGTCCAAAAGTAAGGAGTAGCCAAACACATGTTATACAAAGTCGTACAATCTATACAATTTCTAAACTTTTGAGATTTGTAAATACCATCATCTTTATTCAGTTGATTATATCTTTTTTCTGCCTCAGCATTGTAACCATCTAGAAATATTGGCACAACAAGGAGAACTATAACAAGTGAAACAATGGTTTTTCCCATTTAGAAAAGTGATATTGAGTTGCATGGAGTGAAATTTGGCTTCAAACCACACCAATTTATACCGCTACAGCTAAAATTTATGATGGTGACTTGAGCCATTAATTATGCTTTTGTCATCACTTGTAATATGGACAAAGGATGCATGCCTCTATGCAATAACCTAGCCACATGGTTTCAATGTTTTTCATATGAGAGTAATATGACTGTGGACGTGGAACTAGTATTGAGAACTTGTACATGCAAATAGAAATTTGTCAAAAAAAAATATTTATGTTAGCTATACAATTCATAATTTTCACGTTCAGCTATTGACCAACAATGATGTTTCACCGTAAATTATAATATCATACTAGACATACATCTATTTCATTTGCTAACAACATAACCTCAAAATTGTTGATATGACTCATAATTTGTTACGACTAGATTGTTGTGGCAATCATCTAACATTCATTGGCTGCAATATATTAGAGAGATTGCAAAGTGTCAACGGAAAACTTCAAGGCTCAGACTTAATCTTGTATTGTTGCTCATCATAGTTAAATTGTTTCTGCTCCTCTTTCCTATAAAAGATGTCATTAGGTTGAACCACATCATTTTTGAAGTTATCTTTTAAAAAAATATATTTTTGGTTTTTTATCAATTGTGTTCTGTTATAATAATAAACTATTATTATTATTACTATTTGAAATATCTAGTAAATATATATTATATATGAAAGAATTTCAAACTTAGCACAATTAGATGGATTATTACATGTAGTGAATAGTTATAACTTAAGTAGTATAAATAGCATATCTTTGGTTTATGTAAGTATGCAATAACTTTCTGAGAGAAATAAATTACTCCTATTAACACTCTCTTCTATATCTCTATTTTCATAGTCTAATTCAAATATTTGTTTTTTCAACACGTTATCACTTGTCAGCACGAGCACGATTATTTCTATTGAAAGTTTTTACTACACTAAGTGTATATTTTATACTTATCACTTTAATTTTATTATATTATTATTATTATTATTATTATTATTATTATTATTATTATTATTATTATTATTATTATTATTATTATTATTATTATTTACCCCAGTAATAAAAAACAGACAATCAATCAAGTGATTTATAACTAGAGTGTCTATTATCGTTATTATTACTTTAGTTCTTGTTATAGAAAACTCACAACTTGTCAAGTGCTCTATAATAAATATGACTATTCTTATTATATATTTAGTGGAGGTTTAAAACCCCCATATTCTATTATCAACTTTTATATTTAGTGGAGGTTTAAAAACCCTATATGCACTTAGTAACTTTTGTATTTACTGGAGATTTAAAAATCTCATATGCAGTTACTAACTTTTATATTTATTGGATATTTATAAACCCCATATGCAGTTACTAACTTTTATATTTATTGGAGGTTTAAAAATCTCATATGCAGTTATTAACTTTTATATTTAATGGAGGTCTAAAACTACATGCAAATACTAACTTGCATATTTAATTAAGGTCTAAAACTCCATGCAGATATGGGTTCTTTTATATTATATGTCATCTGATAATTATCTCCGACACTTATAACGGTCATATAATTTTTAACACACTTAAATTTTGGCAAGATATTTTTTTAATCACAATTAACCTTTTTTTCTTTTTCTTTTTCCTTTCCCCAACGATAATATAACGACTAATTTTTCAAAATTACCTCTATAAATACTTCATCTTCTTTCATAATTTTCATATCATTATCAAAATATCTATCCAGATTTTTTAAATGGCTAAAATTATTCTTTTGTTCACCACTTTACTTGTAATTATTTTGTTTCTTATCAGTATTATCAAGCGTGAAGAATTAGATAATGACTTTGTAGCTTTAATGATAATTATCGTCTTACCATTACTAGTCATAGCTTGATTTATTAGTAAAGGTTTTTGAATAATATGTAGCCATGAATTTTGTAATTGAAAAAATTGATATTTTTTGTTTTGTTTATGCATTAAATGTTGATTATGTTCATCTGAATTATAGATATAATCATGTCAAATCTTAAGCATCAATTCAAAATTATAAGCATAATTGGGGACAACTTCATAACTTGGAACAATAACTTAATTGAATACCTTACATGTGAGGGACTTAACAAAATACTTGAAGGAGATAATTTTAGAAAATCGACAGACGACCCAGATGAAATGAAAAAGAGAAAGTCAAAAGTGAACATAATTTTCAAGCACAATCTTGATGATGGATTGCAAATAAAATATTCAAATGCTAAATATCCTAAGATTTTGTGGGACAAATTTAAAGCAAGATTTAGACATCAAAAGAAATTCACGTTACACTCATTAATGGATCAGTGGAACAAGTTAAGGTTACAAGATTACAAAAATGTCATTGCATATAACTCTGTTATGCACCAGGTTATAACACAACTAGATTTTTTTGGCATAATCATAACTGGAAAAAGAAGTTGGAAATTTTTTTTTCAACTTTCCATGCATCCCAGGTATTATTTCAATAACAATATAAAACGAAGGTGTAAGTATTTAGTTATTGGCATGTATTTTTGGTAAAACCAAGTGTGTGAATGTCATGACTGATGTCATAACATTCTGGATTATTAGGTACTTTATGCAGAAAAAGTATGGCATACAGTAGCTGCTGTTTATGAGTGTGTATCTGAGCATTTTGCAATGATCACATTTATTCTTTCTACCAAAATCAGTAAACAGGAATTCTGATGTCATAACAAATGTTAAGACATCCTGTACTGATCTAACAGTTATGCAGTTTGGTTAATTCTGAGATTTTTCAGGAAGTTGGTTCATTCCTTCCAGAACAGAATCTCACGTGGACTTTAGGTTAACCTAGCTCAACCCTAATCTGGTTGATAAAGTCTTGTGACCAAGTCTTAAGGTTAACCTTAATTAACCCTAGCTTTTCGTGGAAGCCCTAACTGAAGAAACAACTGCATATATATTCAACAGGAAAGCTGATTGGAAATTAACTCTTGGACAGAAGATCACTTAGGGGTTGTATAGTTTTAACTGTTGTAATCCAAGCAAGTATCATTGTGATAAGTGACTTGGAGTAGGTTTTGATTGTAAGGGTTGTGTATCACTCAAAGCTTTGAAGCAAGAGTGTTTGTGTCTCTTGACTAAAGCTTTGAAGCAAGGTCAAGTTAGGTTTTTGTATCACTCAAAGCTTTGAAGCACGAGTGTTTGTGTTACTTGATTAAAAGTTGTGAAGCATAATCAAGTGTATGTTCTGAAGAGTGTCTTCATTATTTCATTAGTCAATTGTTTAAGTATCACTGCTGTGATTGAGGGGGAGTGAGTAGGAACTCAGGTTTAAGTTGAACTTAGATTGAAGTTGCATTGGGTAGGTCTTAAGTGAAGGAGATAAACTGGTTGGTTTATTCCTGAATTAACATCTCTTATAGTGGATTTCCTCCCTGGCTTGGTAGCCCCCAGAGTAGGTGTTGTTTCACACTGAACTGGGTAAACAATTGATTGTGTTCTTTACTGTTTTTGTATTTATTGTATTATAGAAAGTCAGATACGGTGTCATAACTTTCACTGTGACATTGAGTATCTGTTGCCAGAATTTCAATTGGTATCAGAGCAGGCACCCTGCCTGTCTTACTGGGTGAGATCTAGGGATATCACTTTCTGGCACTATGGACAAAGAAGGAGTTTTTGGAAACAGACCACCCATTCTGGATGGATCAAATTATGACTATTGGAAACCTCGTATGATTGCCTTTTTAAAATCACTGGACAAAAAGGCTTGGAGAGCTGCTGACAAAGGATGGAACCATCCCACCATAACTGAGAAAGATTGGACAATCAGTCTGAAGCCTGAGGAAGAATGGAGCAAAGAAGAAGACGAGTTATCCCTGGGTAATTCCAAAGCTTTAAATGCCTTGCTCAATGGAATTGATAGAAACATATTCAGACTAGTACATCAATGTGAACTGGCCAAGGAAGTTTGGGACACTCTCAAAACTACCCATGAGGGCACATCCAAAGTAAAAATATCAAGGCTTCAGATGCTGACTACCAAGTTTGAGAACCTAAAGATGATGGAAGATGAAACCATTCATGAGTTTCACATGAACATCTTGGAGATTGCCAACACCTCAGGAGCATTGGGAGAAAAGATGTCAGAAGAAAAACTGGTGAGAAAGATTCTCAGATCCTTGCCTAAAAGATTTGCAATGAAGGTAACTGCTATAGAGGAAGCCCAGGATATCAGCAAGTTGAAGGTGGATGAACTCATTGGGTCTCTTCATACTTTTGAGATGGGGATCAGTGAAAATGTTGACAAGAAGAACAAGAGCATAGCACTTGTATCCAACACTGAAGATGAAAACAAGGAGGATGAAGAAGAAAATATTTCAGAAGCTATAGCCATGCTTGGAAGACAATTAAACAAACTCATCAAGAGAATAGATCCAAAGTCAAGGTCAAATGTTAATAACATTCCCTCTGACATTAACAGATCTTATGACTCCAGCAGAAGACCAAGGTCTAAAGAGAAGGGAAATCAAAGCAGAGGAATCCAATGCCATGGATGTGAAGGATATGGGCACATTCGAGCTGAATGTTCTACCTTTCTTAAGAAACAAAAGAAAGGAATGTCTGTTACCTGGTCTGACTGTGATTCAGAAAGTAATTCTGAAGAAGAATCTGCCAAACTAGTTACTGCACTAACTGGTGTTTGTACCTCTGAAAGTGACACGAGTGATGAGGAAGTGACATTTGAAGAACTGGCTGACCTACAAGAAATTATGTATCAGAAGTGCTGAAGTCTGTCTGCAAAATGAGAGACAAACAAAACTCATAATAAAGTTGGAGGCTGAAAAAAGGGCAGACATTGAAACTATAAGTCATCTAGAAGGGGAAGTTCAAATGTTGAACTCTAAACTGAACCAGATGACCAAATCTGTCAAGATGCTGACAAATGGAACTGACAAATTGGAAGAAATCCTTCAG